ACTACTTTAATTATAAAGCATACGTGTCCGTAACCGGAATCCCTGGCAGGAAGTGGTTAATATAAGCCATATAAACAAATGTTGTCATTATTGACACAACTTTTCAGCTCAATTTACAAGTTTCAGCCCCATAAATGCCAACTCCCGTTGCCCAGCTCAGAAGGAATTCCATTTGGCAGCATATACAAATGAATGTTGAATTTCACCAGAACGCACAAACATTGACTTGGACCTGACAGCTTTTCTACTCTGAATACATGTACCTTGACTGCAAACTCAATGTGGCCCCGTTTCATGAGCAGGTCGCAGAAGATGAAAGTGAAACTGAGTGGGGAGGGTGATACTTCCGCCGATGCACCCCTCACTCCAGGGATGATCAGACCCCCGGGCACACAGTCCACCATACAGACTGAGGACGCTAAGGCCAGGTGTCTGGGTAGGGGCCTGCCAGTCAAGACCCTGCAAGACAAGGACAGGCTGAAGCCAACAAGGAAAGGCATGACGCAGGGCATGGACAGCAGTAACCCAAGGAGGAGCGCCTCAGGGTGAGTGGGGGATGTTTACTTTAATAAAGAAGAAATATGTGACCTGTCACCACAAAATGAGCTTAAGGTCGAAATTTTCAAAAAAACAAATATTGGTATATTTGAATTCAGCAAAAAGACAGCTTTGCAGTGGTATGTATATGGAACACCTAGAGTAAAAGTATGAGATAATGTGACATTATTTTAGCGGCTTTAATTTGCATCTTTGTTCCACTGTTTTAACATTTCTGACTAGGCACGACTAATGCTATTGTCAAAATTGCTGAGCAAATGACATTTCTAAATATATGATCCTGCGAAATATTTATAATTAAATAGGAGACAGTTTACTCTTTCCAAATATTACAGTACCCCCAAAATTGACCTCCACTTCATTAAGAGTTTAAACCCTCAAAATAGAAAGGAACAGAATGCGACTTTACGCTCATTTTGTCATGACGGGTCACATAGCCACTTTCCTGAAAAAGCTGCTGAGGCAGGAATTTTGTGCCAATTCTTCAACTGGGCCATTATTCTTCGGGCCCATAAAGTGCATGTATGTAGTGAGGCACAACTCTTGAGTTTTAATTGACATCAGTATTTCCCCTTGAGTTCTTCTATTCAGCCGTTTTTCATCTGCCCTGGTAAAAATTGTGGCACGTGTCCAGACGTCAACCGGTTCACATACAAAAGATCCACATTGTATATAGGCGTCACCCATGGCAATGGGTGTTTTTTTCCAATTGTTTCAATACAAAGAAGTTGCTAGTTCGATTTTTGTAACCTTTACCTGTTTTTAGTGTGGTTTCGCTCCCTAGCAAATCAGCTGACCCAAATAGAGGAGGTCTTTAACCTTAACAGTCGTCAGTCCTCCAACCGGTGAAGGATTGAGGAGTGTTAGGGTTAATCCCCTTACTTAGTTACTTAGTGTATAGTACGGGCTCCGAATTCCACATGTAAGTGCTCAAGAAAGACATTTCTGAATTATTGTGGGTGGGGGGTCCACTGAGTAGAAGCATCTGCCTGTGGGATTGTCTTGCACCCTTTGATCCAATCAAGCATGACACGTTAGTACATCAACCGCAGAAATTACAAAAAGAATTCTTAAACGAGTGTATACATCCTGGTACAAATAAGGAAAATTGTGAGTTTAGACGTCATCCAGTGTCGAGTGGTTAAACAGGGAGGCATGCAAACTTGGATTAATGAGATCACAGAGTTGTATTCCAAGGCCATACAGTGATCACAAGTCAGTCACAAGTAATCACATTAACCACTTCCTGCCGGGGACTCCGGAATCGGAGACGTATGGTTTATATGCGTGGCCGGGGTCTCCGAACTCGGACAAAGGAAACAGGGCCCTGTAACAAAAGACCATACTCCGAACAAAAGACCAGGCTGCTGGACATTACTGACATTTTTCACTCTGAAAAGTCGTGATAATCCAGCCTTGTTTTGAAACCGTATACCAGGATTTGGGGCATTGAGAGCGAGCGGATTACCACCGGGGACAAAAGCGCTCCACCACCGCAGCGATGAGCCACACAGCGCCGCTTCATGCTAATCTGGCCCCTATTGAAAAGAGGTCAGCAGTGCACTGAGCCAGGTTCTTGAACCAAAGAAAGTTACATAACACCGCACAATCTGGGCTTTTTTTACAAGGCTGCAGGCCTGGCTGAAATACTCAGGCGCCAATGAAGGTCACCTGTCAAATCAGAGTAGTGCCTAAAGATTACTTTGTACAGCTAAATGAAATGTTAAATGAAATGATGAATTTTTGAAGAATTTTGTAAACGGAAAAAATGATAGTCATGCCGGTCCAGCATCATCAACATTGAAAAATGCCCCGGCATGAAGTGGTTAAGGTCTAACTTAATGCAGCCAATGTCAGTACAGTAAGCTTTGTTCACGAAGTGGCCATTTTAGATCCTGTGCCCGGAGTCCATTTGATCTGCTAAGGATCTTGACATGGAAAGGTGTCTGACTATTTTGCTGACACATTTTTTCCCCCAAATATAGTTGTGCCAACCAGAACACTAGGATAGAACATGCAGTGTATCGTTTTCCCTTTATGATCAACTTTGTTTTTGCTGTCCTGAACTTTTGGAAAAATGTTGTAATGATTGTTTCACTTTCAATTCAAGATGGCTATCTTGTAAATAATGTCAGTTTTTCACAAACCCTTGAGGTTTAGCTTTAGACAAAACCTTCATCAAAGTATTCCCTTCAGTATTGCTTGTATCCAGAGTTGTGTAATCAGGGCAAATTTAGGATGTTGCCTTGAAGCGAATGTCGACAGTCTGGCATGTGACTAAGCAACAGAAGTGGTATTGTCAAGCCCTCATGTTCACCACAAATCACTGTAGGTCATCCCATCCGTAGTCAAGTCACTAGTTATTTGTCTAAAAAAAAAAGTTCCTCCATTATTACCCGTGACCCAATTCGCGATTTTGACTTGCGAGCGACTTGACCGCAGTTATGGAAAATGGGACAACTTGGAGCAGCAGAAGCTTGACCTTTCGGTTCATTTGTGTCGCTCTGTGTAGGATCCAGCGTAACAAACACAGCCACCTCAAGTTTGACCCCAAGTATTACGTCTTTGGAGATAAACCAGAACGAGAAACGTAAGTCCTGATGGCACGTTCTCACACAATGACAGGTTTGAAATCCACACTGTTGCTCTTTACTTTAGTTTTAGCACCCGTGTACAGGAAAATGTCTCAGGTACCTAATCTGCACCATAAACATTACAGTCAATCGATACACATCTTGTAATGTTTTGGGGTTTGGCAAAATGATATTCTTTTCAAGCACAAAATACGGTAGGTACAGCTGTACACATCACTGGATGCTTAACCCCTTCGCGCCGGTAATTCTTTTGACCGCGACTGCTGGGCTGTGGTATGCCCTGAATGGAGGGCTTTGTCCATCAGTAGGCCCCATTGAACCAGCAGCTGCATGGTGAACAGACTGTATGTCTGGTGTGGACTAATGCTCACACAGAGCCAGGGCTCTTGCCGTCTCCCGGAGCAAAGGGGTTAACAAATTAATGGAAAGTTTATGGTACAGATAACGTACCAAAACATTTCCTTGTTCATTATCTTATCTGAGTTAGGATACCATGAGCAAAGGATAATTTAAAACAACACGGGATTTAGGTGTAGTAAATGGATTGTGTCTGTGACCTTTCTTGAAGGGAAAAAAATTAAATCATCCACATGTGCTGTAAAAAACTTTTTTCAATCTGTTCCAGCACGTTCCAGTGTTTTTTCCTTATAATTGTTGATGAATGGCACGTTTCTTGATTGCACAGTCTCCTGAAATGAATCACGATACTGCAGAGATAAAAACAGTCAAATTGAATCAACATTCCTACCACATCCTCTCTCCTCATGGCAGAATATGCCATGTCGCCCAAACAAACAGAAATATACCTTGAGCCCTTCCTCAGCATAGAGACAATCTCGAACTTATTTATTGATGGTTCCACCCCACACCGAACTTTGATTTACGGACAGGCACTTCCTGGCCCAGATAAGACGAATCCTGCAGGATGCACTGGAAGGGCTGCTGACGACCGCAGACGTGAGTATGATTGATGTCCGTTTCCTTTCGCATCTGACGTGAGAGGGATGCCGCCTTGGCTAATCGACTCAAGCCCCCTCGGCTGATTATCTCAAGCCCCCTGAAACTACAGTGCTTTTCACTGTGAATATCAGGTTGAAGTCTTTTGTATGGCGTAAGAGAGTTTGTGACATCGACAGTCTTAACCAAAATGGCTGTGGTGCCAGGAGATGGCCGTCATTCAAACTCAGTGCATGATGAGCTGAGCGATATTGAAACCTAGTCACATACTCTCAGCCTGTAGAAGAGATGTAAGTTTTGCATTGTTTAGGCTCAGTACATGATTACCCCAAGACAAGGGGAGACTTGGCAGACATTCAAAAACCCATTACTGCCCTGTGTTAAAACACCGTGGGTTTTTGAAATTTGATGGCACGTACTTTGCGCCATGTCGTGTTGATATGAGCCCTGTTCACACGCTGTTTCCCCACCCACAGTTACCTTACATACCTACATGTAGTGTGGACATTCCTTTCTTTTTGTGCAGTTAAGAAAACTCATTGAAAATACTCGTTTTTCTTGAACCGGAAACACAATTTTCAGCTGGATTTTTGTACAAGGTTTCCTTGACTATTCCTCTTGCTTTTACGACAGATGACCCCTACCCCAAAATGCCTCTAAACTTCTTTTTCAGAGAAGGGGAAACGTCCTGTGGACATGTGTAAGTCCACAGAACATCTTCCTTTCCTGCATCGTGTGGACATCTTTTGTTTTAAGTCCACACTAGGTATGTATGGTTAGCGTACCCACACTGACCCTGATTCCATTTTTGACCATCTCAAAACTCACAGAATGTATAGGGTTAATGACAAGAAAATGTGTCAGCGTTTATCAGAACAACTGCAGTATTTGAGAAAATGCTGCACGAAAGTGTCTCTAAAAATACTGACAGTTCAAAAACATCCTCCTTAGGGTTAAATTGATGGAGCAGTGATACAGCATAGCAGAGTTTACGGGATCTAACCCTTCCAGTTAGAGCCATTATTAGTGTAAGGTTTAATTTCACCGCCTCACTTAACTTTCTTTTGAAATAATATTTGGCATTTTTGCCGAGACAAGTGGCTTAAGTTGAATCAGTATATTAGAAAAGAGTGTCCTAAAAAAAGTTAAAATTGACCTGAAGTACATCCTTTTTTGTGTTCTTGTAGCTTTACTACCGCCAGAAGGGATTAAGGCCGCCGACCAGACCGCGAGCAATACATGAGACCTTTGAGCTATGTGCCGACGTAGTGGTTTCCAAGTTACAATCCTACTTCATCCAGGCTGAGGAGTACCACAATCAGTGCCTGCAAGGTACATGGGAGTGATCCCCAATGCAGTGCGCCACCAAGAGCTTTGCAAAGAAGAGGCAATTTTATCAGTGCATTATGGGAAAACAGCTGACATCTAGGCATCAAATGTTATAATGATACCTTCAGAGTATTTATAAGGCGCACAGTGTTCAACACTATCTGTCTTTCACACGTACTGATATACTGTCATTAGCCCTGCATATTGGACTCACATCTGAACATTCCAGAGACTATCTGTGACCCGTCATGACAAAATGAGCGTAAAGTCGCATTCTGTTCTTTTCTATTTTGACGGTTTAAAGTCATATTGAAGTGGAGGTCAATTTTGGGGTACTGTAACATTTGGAAAGAGTAAGCCATCTCCTATTTAATTACAAATATTTCGCAGGATCATACATTTAGAAATGTCATTTTGATATTGATATAAGTGAATTTTTTTATATTCAAGAATAGTGAGTTTGTTGAGAAGTATTGTATATAAAGTTCTTCCGTCATCACTGTTAAACAGTGCACGGAGCATAATTGACAATATGGGCAAGTCATCAAGCCTACTGTGGAAAAGTAGGCCACCGTACACCCAGCATGCGGGCAAAATACGCACATATTTTGCCAGATTAAAAGAAAGGGATAGTCTCATGCATTGTGGCTGACCGATCTATTTCAGAATTCCGGGAGCAGCTAGAGCGCCTGGAGATCTTCAACGGCCGGGTCCCCCCGCTGGTGATCCGAGAGATTCTGGGCAAACACCTGAAGGTACTGGAGATGTCTCTGCATAAGGTGTCTGAGGGATTCAAAGGGAACATGGCTCGATGGGACAAGGAGAGGGTAAGATCACATGACTAAGATTTTGTCAGCTGCACGTAATTAAAACATTTGAAATTTCTTGGTGGCAGTATATGTTTCTGAATCACGTTATAGAGGCTCTTGTTGAACCCTGAGAAAAGGAAGCAGAAAGCAAATTCTTTCCTAAGCCATTTACATCTAATAAAAATATCTGTGGCTTCTTAGATGCTTCCCAAATTTTGGAAGAATTGTCAATGTAAGAGGAGAACAAAATTTACAGTGTAGAATATGCTCAACATTTTTCTTAACCTTGTGAGTTTTCCCCTGATTTTGCACCAGGCCGCGGAGGATTGTGAATACAGTTACAGTGCAGTAGATTTTGGTTGAAACTTTCAGAAATCACGTCAAAGTTGATAAAGGAAAGCAGACAATTTTTTCTTGCTGCCATGATACAACATGCATCGTTCAAAGAAAAAAACTAAGGCCGAAGCAAGCATGGCCTCGGAAGCTGGGACTTTGTGTAATATGTTTTTGTTTCTGCCCAAGTGACCCTTTAAGACAGTCGACAGACAGTCCAAATGGTCCATTTAGAAAACTCCAGAGCTGTTTGAGGAAACGGCAGACACGCAAAAGGGTCTCCAAGCCGTTTATATAGCCCCCCCCCGGTCTTGTTTTGCTTTGCAGGCCCAGCATAAGACTTTACTACGTCCCACCCTGGGCCACCCACACAATCGCAACCAGCTGCAATCACTGTGTGAGAACGAAGACACCAGGAAGAAAGATTACACCAGTGGTGTGGAAGATAATACACACAAGTTAAAGGTACACTTCAACCAGCCGTTTTTTTCCAGTACATGGGAAAGGTTGACAACTTTATTGGAACACGACCAATATTGTGACAACTAGTGGAGGGTAGACATTCCTGTTCTGAAGTATATGAAAGCTTGGCTGTTGTATTGGTGAATGACTAATGTGAAAACAAAGGATGGGATCAGTGGATTGGGCCAGTGGATGCCCTGTTCCCATAGTTTGCACGTAGTTTCTTGAAGAGGAGAAAGAAGCGGAAAGGTTCAAGGTCCCCAATTGAATGCAGAAACAAATTCACACCCACCCGCACTTACACCCCCCCCTCCTCCTACTTACGTAACATATCTAGTGTGGACCTTCCTTTGTTTTCGTGCAGATAAGAAAACTCAGTGAAATACTCAGTTTTCTTGAACTGCAAACATAAATTTCAGCAGGATTTTTATAACATGTTTCCTTGACTTTTGCTCTTCCTTTTACGACGGAGGACCCTAACCCCAAAATGCCTCTAAACTTCTCTTTCAGAGAAGGGGGAATGTCCTGTGGACGTGGAAGTCCACGGAATGTTTTCCCTTCCTGCATCATGTGGACATCTTTTGTTCACAAGTCCACACTAAATATGTAAGGTTAGCGCACAAAATGAATAGCAGACCAGATCTAGAAACAATTTCCCAATGCTCCACAACAGTCACTCTCTTTACAACCAACAAAAATGTTCTGACATGAAACCTTTCATGGTATTGATGTGATAACGTCTGTGTGGGCTCAGATATTGGCATTTTTCTCCTCATTATCTGAACCACAGTCTGCCTCATTTGCTGTGCGTACTTCTTAATAGGGTCTTTGCCCCTTCACCTCTCATGCTTGACAGGACTCGGCCAAGTCTCTGGGGTCAGACTTTGCCCTGGAGCTCGCTAGCACATCAGAGAGGCTGTTGCTGATGTTTGACTCCCTCCTGACTGTTGACGAGGTCGAAGTGGGACGTAAGTTAACATATTAGGAACTGAAGGAAGACTCAAAAGTTGCCTTATTGAGAGTCAACAAATCTGTGAGAATTATATGACTCATTCTTCTCAAAACAACACAGCTCACAAAAACGATCTACATATTATGTATTATACCAACTGTTTCACTTGTTGTTTCACTTAAACCAGACCACTTGTTAGTTATAAACAAGGCTATGTTCCAAGCTTGGTTCCTCATCAGAACTTAATTTGATTTACTTCTTGAGCTTTCTTTTCTGTTAAGCATCAAAAATGTTTGGATGCAAAAGTTATAGCTGAAGTTACCTGGTATGTAGTGATTGTAGTGAAGAGTTGTAGTACGGACTTCAGTTTCAAACTTAGCAGAATATTCATGAAAGATTGTGTTAGTTTTCAGACAAGACTACACTCTAAAGCAAATTTGTAATGAGTGATGAAAGTACATGTATTTACTATTGGACAAGAGCACATGGTTGAAATGTTGAAGTACTTTCACTGAATTACAGCTTAAAAGACCACATTGTTTGGTTGTCAGGTGTTGATCCTAAACGTCTCAAGACAAGTGCCCTGATTCGCCGTAAGAAAGCTGGCCTACCATTGGAGGACAACGAGTACGTGCCCCTCATCAAGCGCGGCAGCCGCCAGTGGCCGGGGATACCGACCGACCAGTTGACCGACAAGCAGCGGCCGACCAAACCACAGCTGTCGGCCGCAGTGACCACAGGAAAGACCACGCTAGCCCATCAGGCCTTGGTGGACGCAAGAGATGAGGTCTTTCAGGTGAGAAAGAAACAGCCTCGCATGTCCAACCACCAGGACATTTAACCACTTGCCCATGGTATTTATTCACAACAGACTTGTCCCAGGCACCGGATTATTGTCGGCAGAAACTATACCGACTTTCCCCCCCCCCATATTTCCATTAACGTAGCCTTATTTGGAAAATGAAGACAGTGTTGTGGATCCCTCAAGCTGCCGTGGTGCCCAGCTGTTGTCCACGGCTGCTTGAGGGCTCCACCCATGCTCAACTTGCTTGAGCTAGCTCAAACCTCTGTATGAGCAAACTCAGTGGGAATCACTAAAGTATGGGGACAAGACCAGACGTCACGCATTACTACGTAGAGACATCACTGGAACATGTTTTAACATCGTCTTCATTATGTATAGAAAATCCCAGCATGTTAGCACGTCATCCAGTGTTAAAGAAGATAAGTACTGCTGATATTGAGATCCTAAGACTTATTGTATATTGTACAGCCACTTTAAAATCTCCAGAAGGCACTGAAACAAGTCATGCAAAGTTTTTATCTCGCGTGATAAGGCGCTGTAGTCCAGCAGTTTTTAGTTGTGCTAGTAATAGAAGCTTCTCGTTTTTCTCTCAAGCTTCCTTATTTTTTTAGGGGGGGGGACTGGGGTAGGGATCACGTCGTAAGAATTTTGCTTTGGAGAGATATCATTCCTGCTGGTGTATTGGATTCAAACTTGCCAGCTCTGATCCCAATGGAGTTTATTTTTGAAAAACTGAGACACCTTAGCTACTAAGCATGAGGCCATGGGGTCCAGGTCATCCCAGGAATGTGTGATAAAGTAATTAGGGTTTGTGACTCCAAGTCGTAGGGTCGATGGTTCAAATCCCGCTTAGTCACAGGTCGTAGGGTCGATGGTTCAAATCCCGCTTAGTCACAGGTCGTAGGGTCGATGGTTCAAATCCCGCTTAGTCACAGGTCGTAGGGTCGATGGTTCAAATCCCGCTTAGTCACAGGTTGTAGCCTTTGGCTGGTTGCTTTGCTACTACTCTACCTCTCCCTACCCAGGAGTATAGACGAATCCGTTAACTGCAGTAAGGCTGTCACTGCTTACTTCCAGGGGCTCACCATGCTCGAATGGTGGGTTCTCATGCATCAAGGATGTCCTGAAATGTAGCTTCTAATAAGGAACCTGAAATTTACCGCAGAGTTCAGCATATCTGGCCTTGCCACCTTGTGCCCACAGAGTTTCCTGTCGCTGTTTGCCAAAAAGGATAGCATTAATCAATGAACAAAGAGCACTGACGTCAGCCAACACGGGCAGCGATGATATCGCAGTTCCTGTCACTCATCTGTATGCGATCGCTCATTCATCATTTCTTTTCTTTTTATTTTCAGTCCGGGGCAGGTTTTTGTGGGCAGCTGTTGTAAATTGATCGTGTTTTGCTTGAACCAGCTTTAGCCATGGAGGTCAGGGGAGTTGGTCAGAAACTTAGTCGGGTGATGCATGTTAAGGATTAGTGAAGGGCGCTGTGTCTGGCCAACTCATGGATACCAAGGGTGGACATGCGTACCTGTACGCGGACGCAGTCATGACGGGAATTTTTCATCAAGTGGGGGGGTCACCACACATATTTATGCAAATTCATCGGCTGTGAAACTAGCAAGGGGAATTGGAAACCGCTTGGCATTTGGAAGCAACTTTTTGCACACACTTCTTCATGTAATATACATGTTTATTAATCCTACTTCATTCCTTTTGACTACCCGTAAGTTGGCCAATGGTTTAAACCCTGTCAAAAGCCCACCGTCAACCTTACTAGCACAGTAAAAGTGACATTGGCATGCTTTCCAATGACACTAGGTCTTACATTGTTATCACTGCAGGGTACAGTTGAGTACGTAAAAAGACTGTGTTGAGGCTCTATGACAGCTGTGGAGTTTCTAAAGAATTAATTATTTCATAGCTTCTGTGTTTTCTGTTGAGGCACCCGTAGTGAAAAGATAGATTGGTACTTTAAACCCATTATCTGCCAGAGAGTTTTCAAGTGTGGGTCAGTTATGCGTCTCTCAAAATGAAGAGGACCTAGGTTTTAACCCCTTCACTACGGATGACTGCTACTACAGCACCTTTGTGTGAGCATTAGTACATACCACACATACAGTCCATTCACCATGCAGCTGCTGGTTCAATGGGGCCTGCTGCTGGACATAGCCCTCCATTCAGGGCATACCACAGCCCAGCAGTCGCGGTCAAAATAATCCCACCGTGAAGGGGTTAAGCCTTTCCCATGATCTAGTTCCACAAAGGTTTAATTAATGTACATGCCAGTACATGTACACTTGCACACAAAGTGATGAATGCTTAAAACACTGCTGCTGTCACATGCACCAGACTGATTCCATCTGTTGTAACAGCTCATATGTTGAGGAGATGTGAGTTCCAAAGCTTTGTCCAGGGTTTTTTCCCTTCGGAAAACAAATTTGTATCATGTTTTTATGTACAGGTACCTTAATGTACTGTGAACGAATTCTCCAGGTTTTGCTTAGAGGACTGTAGTTAGACTGGAAGAAATCCTTTTCCGTTGAGGAATGTAACTTTTTTTGGAGGACATGGAGGAGTGGTACTCATGCCTAAGCAAATCAATGTGAACCCTCTCTAAAGTGGAATTTGAAGAAGACAGTCACAAGCTCGCAGAATTAGGCATTCGGGGGGCATCAGGGGTAAAGACACCAATTTCAGTTTGATGTATCTCTGCAGAATTTCAGCTTTATGTAATGCAAGTCCATGCCCCACTTTAGTTTGAAGTAGGTCAGGGTCTAGCATACCTTAGAGAGCAATAATTTTTCTCGAGCCTCTCTGTCTAATGAAATGTCATACCCAAACTTGTTTTGATTAACGCGAGCAGGTTATCCAGGATTGATGATTCCTTCCGTACCTCTCTCCTCTGGGTTGTTTGGTTAATTTGATGTTTGCGTTGTGGAGACACCCTGAGTTGCTTATGAAATTGAAACAAAGATGAAGTTACTGCATTTTAACCTGAAAATGGCTGACAGTGCATTTTTTTTTTTGTTAGCAGGTAGTGATGTTTCCACCATTGTCTGGCCATTATCGTGACACAGAATCAAATTTGGTGTCTTTATTGGCCACAGGATGGGTGTGTTGAAGCGCGCGGCCCAGACGCATTGATCAAAGCCTCATTCCGGGCCCTGCTCAATGGCCCAGAAATGACAAATTGTGACCCCTTGTCCACAATCACTCCTGATATCCTGTCGCCAACCTTTGTGCTTGTTATTCTGGACTGGTATACCGCAGCCCACACCTTCTGTGTTGTTTTTTCCTAACCTAGATTTTTGTATCCAGGTACATGCAGGACAGATGAAAACACAGGGCTGGGTACCAGACATACTTGGCTCTTATGCAGAATTTAACGTTTTAGCTGGATTTGACAATTTGATCTGTTTTGATACATGTATATTTGGTCGAAGTCCAGACTATTAGTGACTATGAGGAACACAATAATATATGTGCAACATTTAGATTACTATGACATAAAGTATTTGGCATCAGCTCTAGTAATGGACTACACCCCATGAACTCCAGTTTTGAATAATTCAGGTGCTCAAGATGAACTTTGAACACGTCAGCATGAAAATTAAACTTAATTGACTGTGGTATTTCCAAATTAATTTTTTCTTCTTTTTTTTTTCCTTAAACCGCCCCGAGCTGTGGATCAGTAGACCCCTCTGTGTAACCCTAATGTGCTACAGGAACCGACCCGCGGGATATGTGCGGCTCCCTGATAAGGCCCGTAATGACACAATTCCCCTACAAGGGGAACATAGGCTGGGTCCGTGGGGAATCCTACCATGCCCAGGGTGCAGGTTTTGCATCTCATACATAATCATTTCCATACCCTCTTACTTCTTGATGTGTACATCAACACCTACCCACTCCGTGGAAGGAGGAGGGGGGGTCTAGGGTCTTTTTTACGGTTGAGCTGGAACTGCCTTGCTGAAAGCAGGGAATATCCTGCAATCGCCGGTCAATTTTTGTGCATTGTTTTGGGGGAAGGGTGTTTCTTGCCCTTTTGTCTGCTAGCGTCAAGCCCCGTGGTGAATTAGCTGGGCTTGCCCAGTTCATTGTAAAGACATCCTGAGGCTTTCAGCATGTTAGAGGAATTGTTTTTGCTTTGCATATAGGGGTTTGTCGGGGGCATGAATGTTTAAAATTAGTGGCGAAGAAGACTGTCATTTCACGGCATTAGCCTATTTCAGCACTGACACACTTTGAACGTAACTTTTCTTTCTTTCTACTCTACCAACAGGCTGGTTTAGGAACAGTGAAAATTAAAAAGAACTTAAAAAAAAAAAAAACAGCGACTGAAATATTCAGGACATAGATGTAGGCTTCCTATATCATGAACAAACTGTCACCCTGTTACCAATGCATTTTATAACGTTTGTGTCATATATTTTGCTAGTTTTTGCGCTCTGTGTTTTTTTTCTTCATGTTTTTATCCCGTGTGGGCAGTGTTGAAGTCAAGTCAATCACAAGCCACCAGGCTGCAAGTGAAGTCAAAAGCAATTCAATCAAACTGAGACAAGCGTTCCTTTTTATTGCTCAGATTGGAGACTGAACTTGTAGACATACTTGTGATAGACCAGACTAACACTGCATGGCCTTCCGTGGGGAGTGGGGAAAGGGGGTTATCCTTAAGCCTAGGGTTACATACGCATTTGGCTGCTCCCCAAAAGTCATAAACCTTCAGTAATCACCAACCACAGACTCTTCCCTCCTTGCTTGAATTGAGGACAAGGACGAGAGGCCGAGTTGAAAATGGGCCTGCAGTGGATATTTTTTAGTCAGTGAGGTTGAAGTACATGTATACCTTGGGCTTACGTTAAGCCATGTCATTCTTGATCAGGACCTATTTGCACGCATGTGGACACTGTAATGTTGGAGGGAAATCAGTAGAGCTTCACCTTGACCTGGGCGAATGACATACGAGGGATGCATATTGCGCACACACTCCTAAATTTATATCCACTGCAGCAGGCTGACTCAGGAGACTTGAACATTATGTGTATATTCCACTAGTCACTCTCTCACTGCCCTCCTGCTTGGGACAATAAGACTTTGCACTAGTGCCTAACACCACTTGTAATCAGGCTGTGTGAGGTGGCTAGGCTCACTCTGTGATATTGATGTAAGATACAGGAGCTTCCCCACACTCAGGTTTTGTTTGAGGGACAGAGGCAAAACAGCCACCTGACACTCTTCTGAAGTAGACCTTGCATGACTGGAGGAATTTGATGAGCAGTCTGATTGTGTACAAGTATTGCTATTTTTTTCTGTTGTCTACAGACAGGAATAGTTTCCCATGGTTCTTATTGTTAGCAGTGGGGGCTCAGGCTTAAGGTCCCCCACCCCTGGGGTTTTCAATTATCTTTCTGAAAATATACACAGGACGATATGTACATGTACATCTTAAACTACTAGCTAGGTAGGTCTCATATAGCCTGGAGCAGAATCAAACTTCCTGATTCAGAGTTCATGCATATCATATCTTGGCCTGACACATATACTATGGACAAATATGCATCAGTTGCCTCAGCTTACTGTTTTCTCCTTTGCGTGCCCTGGCAGTTAGGGCTGAGTCAATTAGAATAATACTCGACCTTAATTCTATCGAATATCTGAATATTCAGTCGTACTGACTAGCAGATTGTTGAACAAATCATATACAAAATCAGTTGCAATACTGTAACTCACACAATTGTATATTATAATCACTATAATAGCTTCTCACATCTTGGAGGATCTCCAGCCATGATTTAGCAAGATTTAAGAGACAAAAAATACTCCTTGTCCTTTAAAAACTTGTAATGAATAATAAACTTTTTGAATTGTAAGATTTCTGTCACTTTTCATTTGAATCTGCTCGAAACAAGCCTCCATAGTGCAATTTTTCTCATTTAAAACAAAAAAAAATCTCCCATCGTTTCACGAATTTTGCATTTGAATATTTGAATTCAGAAAATAATATTCGAATATTCGATACTCGATCGAATATCCAGATATTCAGATACACAGCGTGGGAGACATATCTATTTCTTGTATCAAGAGTAAGGATTTTTGTTTGAAAATGGTCACTTCTATGGACTCCATTGGAAGCCTGCAGTAGTTTTTGTCCTTACAACACTATACACAACTTGTGGTCCCCTCCATTAAAGAACATGCATTCCTATGTGCATCCATTCCAATAAATGGTAAAATGCCAGTTCCCCCCCCCATCTGCAATTCCCGGAATTATTAATTTGATGTCCAACGCACAGGCTACTAAACATTGTCTGTATGTTGTTTCTCTTCCTCCAGGAATACCTCACGGCATTTGACAAAAACTTGGCCGACATTGACCGTCAACGAGAGGAACAACTGACGGCCGAGAGACGATGGTCTGAGAGCTGGCAAAGGTCTGTGCAGAAAGTTAAAGACTTGTATTGAACAGTCACTGAGGGGTATGTTGAATCCCATACATCTACACACAGTCAATCCATTGTTCCAACGGTCAGTGGTTGGACTCCAGCCACAGTGTACAGCCTTGTTTAGGTAGAAAGGAACATTTATAAACACTTACGGGAAGCTGTTTAAGGCCCGAGGAGGAGGGTGCACTTTTATTCAGTTACACAAATACAGTATGGTTTGAGGAGAAGTAGTGGGAATCACTGGTCCCGAGGTGTAATCAGCTTGACTACCACCAAGGGACCAGGTCAGCTTGACTACCACCAAGGGACCAGTAATTCCCACTATTTTCCCAAAATAAACCATGCTGTATTTGTTTTACTACATTTCATAAATATTCAAAACAGAAATCTCACGTTACTTGTACTCACAGACGCCATTGTTGTTTGTCACCTGCTAAATTTCCATGTAGTGATATTGGAGTGCGGATGTGCATAGAAACAGGCCTTCCATAGTCTGGTGCTGACATATGTTTTGAGTCTTTACAGTAATAGTTATTAGGATACAACTCCAGACTGCATCGGTAAAGATTATANAGGGGTACCCCCCAACATGTCCAATCCCTATACACATTCCAGACTATTGTTACTTAACACATCCCCCCCCCAAGATGTCTGAAAGGAATTCCCCAGATTCCTGCGAGACAATGACCAACACAAAGCAGGGGGGGTTCTCTCTGTCTCATACCTTGCTGCATATGAAAAATTACATGATACAGACTACATATTTACACTACGGGCTCCAGAGGGTTTTTATGCTACCAGAAAAAACTACCGCACTACAGCGAGGTGGATACTCACTTGTATGATATTACCTGGTAGCGTATCACTTCTGCTTCCCAGACGCGAGGTGGAATCGGCCAATGACATACTCCGATCTGCTCATGAATATTTATGAGGTGTAGTAATGTGGAACTTTTTTAATATCAGAAAAAAAAAATTGTATAATATGAACCAACAAATTCAGAATTCCGTCCATTTTAGGAGATGTGGATTTTCTTAATTATTCAGGGCCTCCGGGTCCCGTTTGTGTTCAAGTTTAAATTTTAGATATTAACAGTGTTGGACCGTCAATAAGTTTCGTCAAGTAGGCGATGTATAATTTCACAAATATGTGGTGCAAGTTCTTTTTTGTGAAAATATTTGCCACACATGAACCGTCCAAATTTCCAGAAAAGCTTTTGCCCTGTAATAGATTTGTACATAAAGATTCCTAAAGTTAAGTCCACCAACATGTATAATTTCATCATCCTGTTTAATTATTTTACATGTACACATAGTTTTACCAAAATTTTTTGGCATAATTTTATGTAAGTAAAAAGCCTTTGTGTTCAGAAAGTGTCACTTGTACATGTCAAGTACATGTACTCTGATATACGTGTACGTCATATGAGCCTGTTTGTATTAAAATTGGAAATTTTCCAGAGTACTGATTTTGAAGACTTACACTTTCACAAGCAATTGTGATATTTCTTACACTTGTTTTATTACAAAACTCATGGAAAACACGACAGGAGTAAAAAACTGTAATTTGAAAGCAATATTAACATTTAGAGGTGCCAAACACTGCTGCCCAAAGCAAAATGGTGCACACTATTATTATCTCATTCCTACTTCTTTTTAGCAGCCTTGTTTGAGCACTTAACTACGTGAGTAAACTACAAAGGAATACATATCAGCAAACAAACTTACTTCCTGGCAAAGTTCCTGAAACAGGCACGTAGTATTTGGAACACAGTTGCATTTATGGCAACAAAACACTTCCATGTACCATCAAAACAAAAACCAATTATGCAAAACACACAACATTTGGCCCCTAAAAAAATACCTAATTTGTTGTGTATCCAGACACACACTATTTGCTTTATCAGTCCTCTTGCATGCATTTCAAGTTGAAAAATATGCAGTACAAAATGTTGCTTTACAAAAGAACAGCTCTATGTACATCTTTTATGTACACCTTGAAAATACACCTCCTGGGAAATATGCATATTAATAACACCTGTAACCTCAGCCCCTCAAGTCACATGTACTTAGGTTCTTTTGGGCTGTCTTTGAGCCCCAGTGTTCATTTTCTGTTGACCAATATATAGTGTATTTACTGCCATTGAACCCTTGGCTGTTAGGGACAGTGAGATGCCAAGAAAAGCAAGCACACACAATTTTTCAATTATATAAAGGCAACAGCTTACTTGACTAAATTTTAGGTCAATGTAACTGCCAAGGAGAATATCAATTACATAAAATAAGCACAGCAGAAACCGGGAACCAGTCACCGACTGTCTACATATCACATGAACTTAAACGTATAGTTTGCTACTGAAATGATACCAGTTGTTTTGAGGTGGTAACAGCAAGCAGGTCCAGGGACCAATGACACTTGTAAAAATGACGAATCACCAAAGTGCATGTACTAAACCAGTGACCCACAACCAAAACAGTTGACCAGTAACATTCCCCGGAATTTTAGCTTTAAATGTGAACAGCCCCGTTTGTGTCTCCACGAGGGGGAAACAAACCCAAGCGTCGAATCCACAATGTTTGACAATATCTGTATTCATCACGTCACTGTTTAAGTTGGTACATGTGCAGGTTGCCCATATATTCTGCTTTGAAATTGATTTTTTTGGTTCATTTTACAATATAAGGCACATTTTGAGGCACAATTGAAAGGCAGAAAGTGGCATTCAAAATACGAAACCTTACAACCATGGATCTACAAGGCTGGAGAAAACGTCTTGAGGGGGAAGGTTAGAAATTCGAAACAGTGCATCGTTGTTGCGTATTGCTATTGAGTACAGAGGTAGAAAGGTTTGCAATATGAGTGGTACTCAACTGTCACATTTTTATAGCCAGATCCGCCTCTTTGGTCATGTTGCATAGTGGAGAAAACTGGTTTTATGTTTGATTTAATGTACCGACACTGCTAAAATCACCACCAGAGCCATCCAAGCAACAAATTCGTACAAAATTAAAGAAAAAGGCCACATCCAAATCAGGCATTATGGGGCTTGAGCTGGACCAAGAGAGGGCGCTGTTTTCTTTAGCAACGGAGACTCCTTTGGTCAGACCTGAACTTCACCGGTTCAGGAATGGCTAGTTAATGCATGCATCACAGTTGCATAACTGCCAACAAAATGAACGCCCCTGACTAATGTGGCTTTTTTCAACTGATGACGGGGTGCTTCTGCTCGAGGCAGATTGCCTATAGCTACTACAATTCCCCGTGTAATGTAAAATCAAAGCCTTAGCCACAGAGTACTATAACCTGATGAGGAAGCCGCCTTTGTTTAAATTTCAAAGTTGCCATCTCCCTTAAATTCTACTGAAAGCAATTTTTTAAGCACACACACACATATAAAAATTCTAAGTACATGTACCTAACCATTACAAGAGTTGTTTGGTTAAAAAAAAGGTTAAAACTTTTGACGAAACTACAGCAAGTACATCAGCAAAATTGTTCACAATTTTTGAGTCACTTGTTGCATTTGTTTTAAAAATGCTACAGATATCTAAGAAGGCTTTACCAACATGCAGAAAGCATAAATGTGATTCAAATACTGATTAGCAAATGAACAACAAACCGGAATACATGTAATTCAAAGCAAAGTGTGATTAAAATAAATATTACAGTACCCTTCCAGAAGCAATAAAACTGCAAATGGCATGTGATGTAAAGCTGGACCTGCATTAATCTGACTCTTTACTTTGTTCTTCAACACTGCTCCTGCCTTATTAACTGAGTAAAACTTTTCAAATAAGAATACGCGTACATTTACTTCACATGTACAGCCAGAATATCATAATGTACAACAATAATGTACAATGAAATTCCCACATCAAGTAGCAAAGAGACGAGCTTGAATTGCAGATTTAATATTCATGTTGAATGATATTTCTTCCATGTTCCCTGGCTTTTAGAACAAATTGTACGACAGACTGTAAAAGAAAGTCTGTCCGATATAACGGTGAAGTTGCCAAGGGCCCAGAGCAGCAGTCACCACCAGTGATGTTCCTAGATCTCCACTGATTTCAACAGTGATGCTGTGGTTGTGTAGCGCGAGGACATCAATTAGGGTAAAGCATGAGAGTGACACTGCAGAAATTTTATGCTTAACACAATCAGTGCAGAATCTTCAGTTTAAAACAGGGTGGATTAATCACGCATACTGTTGGCAGAGAACATCATCACAGCAAGCCAGGATGCTTACGGTAAGCAGAGCAACGGAACTGGGCTTAAGTCTGCATGATCAGTAGGGAGTCCTAACTTCAAACCAGATTAAGAACATGGCCCTCTACTCGACAAGAACTACTAACGACACTGTGTATAGCTTGCAGTGCCCAACTTCCTCCAAAGTTCAGGGTGGGCTATGTCATGTCCTCAGGTGACTAGTGGACCACTTTGGATATTCCCATTTTGGCTGCGCCTGTTGGGGCCCAAAATAGCCGTCAGAGCATCCTGTCCAGAGGATAAATCCTGAATCGATCTCTTCAACGCTACACGCAGCCGTCATCGCGCATCACTGGAAACCATAACAGAAAATCCAGAGGGGAGCTTTTCCCTCCCGTGGGGGAATCATGATTTCATCCAGTGTCAGTCGACCGGAATGGAGACGGCAAATCTTGGATGGAACGCTGGCATCATTCTTTGAGGAAAATGGGGGAGGGGAGAGGTCTATTGCGGTTGTCATAAGCTACGATGACCCGACATTTTTTTGGATTCAGCTAGTATCAGTGCTCTTTCTCTGCCATTTTCTTGGTGTAAACTCTGCAGGCATGCATGACTGAATTTGGGTCAAGGGTCACACCACTCAATTGTCGCTACCTAACAGCATTCAATGCTAGAAACAATCGTCAACCCCTCCAAAAATTTGTTTAGACCACTCAGACTAGCAATCCATCTGCTTTGCTGAAATGACTGATTTCAGTTGGAGGTTGACAGTAGCTGTCTCCTCATTTCATGTTGACCAAAGTATTTATTTCCAACTCCACAAATGTGCGCATGAGTTCTGATCCCACTCCACACTTTTATGTACACACACTGGTATGGTTTCCCTTAAACTGTACACACATGAGACTTGTCGCCACACTTTGAAGCGTTATAGGGTAGTCCTTTGGTTTGATATGACCACAGACGTTGGACTATCCAGCGGTTGCACGTCGCTGTGAGACTCCTCTTGGTCCAGCAGGACTGCAATGGCTGCCAGACTGTCCTGTTTCATCCTGCTGGACCCTCTGGATGAGGACATCGTCACCTGAGATGTGGAAGAGAGATCTACGGTCAAGCTGATACCAGAGATTCCAAATTAAGATGTGTCGGATGCTAATCAAAATAGTTTACACGACATTTTGCTGGCCCAGCCTAACAAAATGAGTTGCAAGTCTCCAGAGCTCGTTTTGAGATAACGACTTTCAGACAGAAATCAATGGGAACCCTTGACATTTTGTCACCTACTTATTACTCATTTTTGTCAGGGTGTGAGGCTGGGTCATTCATCAAAATAAGGAGCTCAATTTGCCAATGCAAACTACAATAAATTTACGGAAAAAAATGGCCTTAACCACTTGCTGCCAGGTGCTTTTAAAAATGCAATGCACACATACGGGCGATTTTCAAGATTTTCAGGTTTCAAAATTCTTCTAAACTTCATCATTTCATTAAATGGACGTTTACACCCACACGTATGACTGTTTGGTGGCTACTCTAAGCTGTCAGGCAACCTCCATTGATGCCTGGGTATTTAAACCAAGCCTGTCGCCCTGTAAAGAGAGCCCAGAATTGTGAGGTGTTGCGTAATTTCCTTTGTTCCCAGTGAATGCGAGTGGCGTCTTTTCAAACGCGGCTAGATTAGCGTGCATCGGTGCTGTGACGCTCGTCAATGGTGCCCCGGAGCTTTTTTGTCCCCAGTGCTAATCCATGGGGGAGCTATGCCCAAAACAATGGTATACTAGTTCCAAACAGTGATGGATTACCTTCGAAAAATGCAAGCCAAAAAATGATGGCAATTCCCAGCAGCAGGTCTTTTGTTACACAGACAAGGTCTTTTGTCCGATTTCGGGCAGCCGGGCTCTGCATATACTGTAAACCCAAGGTGCCCGAAATGGGTCTCCGGCAGCAAGTGGTTAAGACTCATTTTGTTGGATCCAGGCACACCGGAGTAATTGCTGAGATTGCACATTGGTTTTACTTATACCCATCAGTATCATGACGCCTAAACAAAATACCCTGAAGATATCCTGACTCTCACCTTGTTATAAAGCTCCTCAAGTTTATCGGGTGTTGTCTCAGCACTCTCCAGCTGACTGGATGAGCCTGGGTGATATTTGGGGTTCCTTGGACCTAAGGTAGGGAAAACAACGTAAGTCATTACAGTGTTTCTTGTCTTACTCTAAGACTGATGATTTCCATTTAAATATGTCTACTTGTTGCGAAGCTGCACAATTATATATAACTGTAAGTTGATTCTCCAATTCGTTTTGTCAATCAGATTGAATCCTTGAATGTATCAAGTGATCTGGTTCAGAGCGACTCTTCACCAGATCATAGTTGACATCACCATATTTACAGAATGTCATTTCCTATCTCCAATGAGATGCGAGTGGCACTGGGAGGTACATGTACATATACAAAGCTTATGCTTCCTCTGTCATTCCTTACAGACATGACAACCACTGACACATTTCTGAGCTCATAAGTATATCCCCACATGTTTTGTGAGTCAGATTGCAGCTTTGAAAAGCTAAAAAAAAGAAAACAGCAGTCTGGCACTTCAGCAACTCAGAGAAAATCTGGAGTTTCCTTTAATAGAGCCAGTTTAATCAAACTTCCCTGCCATTCAGCACACTGCTGGCCTCTTTCTGTCTATCAAGTGCCCTGGCCTACAGTTGGTGTGTATGCCTTATCGCAAAATAGGCACAAACCGGGCTGACAAATACAATTATCTGTCCCTGTCACCTCTCCAAGATTGAGGTGAGATAAAAATTTTTGCAAATGCGACAAGGCCAAGACATTAGGATCCAACGGCCTGATCTCAACCCAGGATTTTGGACATGAGCACTGCAAATATACCAAAGACAAAGTTTGTCACTAGGCATGCTGGGCTACACCCCAACGCTGCTGACCTTCATGCAATAGTATTCTGGTCTAGTCCACGGTGTGTCCTGACAAGTCCACCACAAGTCAACCTGTCTCAAGCCAAGACACTAGATCAAATGAAATGCAACGAACCCCTCCCTGCTTGTATTCACAGTGGTAATTACTTGCAACTGGACCCAGGTTACGACTTCGATTTACTTGTGGCTGAAGTTGTGATGGACTTGAAAAGTCTGGTTAGCGTTGAGAGTTGAGATTCCTAGAATGCAACTCACTCCTGGCTGGTGTGTACAGCCTGCCGTTGGCCCTGGGGACTGTACCGGATCCTTGGTCTGCCACACTGGCCCCGTGCGCTGCGTAACCCTGCGCTTCCCGACGGTGGTCCATGGACGGCGAGGAGCTTGCCCGGGGGCGGTTGGGGTCCACGGGCCTGTCCACCATGGCACTCAGGTCAGCAAACTCCACCGGCGGGGAGGGAGTAGGGGTGGAGACTGATGGCAGGCGGGAGGGATTTTGAGAGCTGGCGGCAGATGGTGATTTGGAACTAACAGGGAAAAATGTAGATTTTTTGCTGAACTGGATTTGCTCAATCCTCAACAACAGTCTCCAGAAATTAAAAGCATCAGTTGGACAAACTTTACAAAATGCAGTTTGATACTAGATACCAGGGTGGAGCAAAGGGCTCTAGAGATGGGGCCTCAACCTTGGAGGACCAACTCCAAAGCAAGCGAAGACGAACTACAACACAGGCCATGAAGGTTCCAAGCTAGGGGCTTCCTGTGTGACCCTGGACAAGACTCCAGACACACTACAGTCCAATCTAAGGTTTGGAGGTCAATTTGTCCTCTAAAGTTGCTCGTGGGTGTAATCACACGGAGACAAACTATGGTTGGTCACGGTCGTTACCATCCTGCAAAATGTTGACAGGCCAAAAAGTCTTCCGGACTGGAATTGGGAATGGTCACTTTTAATAAGTTATCACAATTTCAACAACCACTGCCTAAAAACTCACTTTGGTCTGGACGACACGTCTAGGATGATGTCATCACTTCCACTGCGCTGGCTGGACGAACACATCTGATCATTGTCAATCACTGGAGTAAAAAAAATGATTCTTCAAAATCAGTCTACAGAATCATTTGGAACAAATGAAAGCTGGCATACAACTGGACGTAAGAAAATAAGGGATCAGATGTCAAACTGCGAAAGACTTACATGTAAGTACAGTATTTTACATGTAGGATGCAAATGAAGTTGCATGGCTGTTGAAAGTTGTTTCGTTCTGTCTAAAGGCAGCAACTATTTTGCTCTGATGGGTGAATCTTCACTACCAGGTGATATCCTGGACTTAAAAATGGCCCTATATCATATTCAGACAATCACGTCAGCCTGAAGTTAGGGCACACAAGATTTGTCATTCTGTGATTAATACAAAACTTCAAAGTCAGAAACGTAAAATTTTGGGCCTTTTAAAAGATGATCTACATTTGAATCTCAAACTCTGCATAAGCTTCAGAGTTATGATAGACAGGATTTTTTTTTCACTTAATCGACAAACTTTGAAATCTTGACAAAGTGTAACTGGCTCCAACCAAATGAGTCTCAAGTAAATTTGTTCCCAATGTTTATATTATTATTTGCATTACAAAGAGCAAGCTTATTTTAATTTATCACACAATCTGGACATCCTGAAAAATGCACACATTATTCGAGCGAAACCATTGAGATTTTCTCTCTATTCTTATAGTGCCAGGTGTGTTTATGAGCTTGGAAAAATTCCCAGGTACATGTAGCTCTGGTGACTTTTGATTCATTTGGGCTGGGGTGAGTTTCAAACTGGCCCAATAGAATTGACGAGACGCAACATACGGTAATTGGACTGCTTGAGGGCCTTGTCATCCCTCCGGCGCTTGCACCAGACCAACAGGACAACGATGGCTAGACACAGGGCCAAGCCGGCCAGGCTGACAGCAGTGATGAAGATGATGAGCGAGTTCCTGAGGGAAAAAAATCCAAAATGGATTACAAAATGAACCAAAAACCCACCTAAAACAACTGACCACTTTGTTTTTAGTATTAAACTGGGGTCAGCTCAACATTTTTTCTGGGAGGGGGCAGGGACATAGCTCTTCCCTGTAATATCTTTCCTTTGAAGGCCTTCAAAACACTGGAAACATCCATTTGAATTAATCAAGAAGTTGTTGGAAACTTTCATAATATATGTTCTCCAAACCAGTTTTCTCTTTTTTCCAGCCCACACCCACCAAAAAATCAAAATGTTAGAGTGTTAGGTTTAGATTGCCTTTGGTAACCCTCGATGTCTGTGGACAATTACAAGACATTTCAATAACATTTTAAGGAAAGTTTGTCAGAGGATCTGATAACCTTGGCTATTGTACAAATACGAATTTGGCTGGAAAGCTGTTAGCTGATTTGACTACGATCCAATGTCCAGAAGGAGTTGTAAAAACTGTCAAATTTCTAGTCCTGGGTGATTCCTTTAAAAAATGAGAGTTCAGGACCGATTTACATGTGCATGCCATGAAAATACACTTAAAATGAATTGTCACCTCCCTAGACTCCAAAACCCTATTTAAAACAAATATGGAACACAGGACAACTTTCAAACCCATCCAAAAAAGTTCAAAATCCAACTTGGGCCTTTAATTTGATGCCATGATAAAAAGTGCATAAATGACGCACTGTGACTTTGCAAGTGGATCCCCGGGCGACTCGCCCATCTAACTTGCTTGGGAAAAATTGCTCGCTCTGATTGACAACTTAATCTGTCAGAAATCGGCACGTGGGAATATACTCATTTCCTTTTAAAAATAAAGTTCCTTTAAAAATAAGTGAAAAGATTGAGTCCGGAGGATATTTTCAAAATAGGATGCTAGTTTCAGGGCTGTTTCCCCCAAAATGGAGACATGAACACTCAAGCTATAATTTACAAAACTCAAAATGACTCAGAAATTTGATAGTAACTACAACGATGCGGTAACAAGTCAACCTCAACTGTAAATTAAGTTTTTCAAACCACAGAAATTTACTCTTATTTTACACATGCTTACTCAGTTCCCATTTTAACAAATTTGTGACCCGCCCTGCAAAAAAGGGTAATAAGTCATGCAATGCCAAAACATGTCGTGGCCTGTACTATTTGGAGCGGGCAACATTTCTTTAAAAAATGTGATTTGGTTTTTTTTCTTTAATACTTTCTATCATATTTATATTTCAAGAACTTGTGACTACAAACATGGATACTGACGAATAAAGATGAAAAATTGATCATTCAGTAGGAAATCCTAAAAAGCACTGTGTTTCCAAGCGCTACAATTCAAGAGCTTTTTTTTCCAAAAAGTGCTTTTATTTAATCCACAAATGTGGATATACAAATGTCTATATATATCCAGAACGCAGCGTACTACAGGGGTCATTCATATATCAAATTGTAGCATTTGATGTACAGAATCCAGCCATATCAAAAACTCTGGCGACTTATGACCCATTTTTCTAGAACCATCACATTTTAACATGTGTCTGCAGAAGACATCCTTGCTTTTCTCAAATGGCTTTTCAGATTTCCTTTGTCTGAGCAGTTTTCTTGGTATATGAGGCTTCAAGCAAGGATCAGCTTGAAAGGGTAATTCTAGGGACAGACACCCTACTCAGCTGACTCTTCACACTCGCACTTCATGAATCAAACAAACATTTGTAATGAGTCCCATCAGCCGTGGGCAATGGGTTGTATCTTGGCAACTGTTCACGTTGTAGGTAACTTGTACCAGTTGATTGTTTCCACAAATGCTCATTTTTGCATAGCTTTTGTTTCTGTTTACCATCACGACCTTAACAACTAAACATGACCCTGCTTAACTTTTAAATAAAAGTACCAGCATAAAAAGCATTAAATGGTGTGCAAAGTGAAATAACAAGACCGAAGAAGCTCCCCAATACAGACTTTTCAATAAAATACATGTACACTCTTCTACTGATTAATGAGCATTCAGAATTAAAGTTTGCTTGGAGATGCATGAGTAATGTGCACAAAGGATTACACATATGGCCTACACAACAGTCCAGACAAGAAGCGCAGTGCCCTGATGAAGACTTCTTTGTCACATGGTAGACAAATTTGAAAAGACATACATGAATGATAATTTAGTGAGGGATGAAGAAGCGCCATACTCACAGTGGATAGGCAACCCCTCCAGGGAACAGACTAACTGGTGCTCTGTCGGTGGCAGGGGGTGAAGTGGTGCTGGTTGGTGTTGTACCCTGCCATGATGGTGGGGACTTGGTTGAACGAGCTTTCCCTGCAGAGGAATGGGTAACAAGACAAAGATGACATTACCAATGGTAACTTTTGTGACTGGCTGCCACCAAACCCGTGGGCATGATTCAAGAACAATGGTGGTAAGAGTGTGATCAAACAGAAAACACAGAGATACGGGTCATTCTACAAATTAGGGGTCCAAAAGTGGGACATTATGTGTCCACTGTAACACCTGAACTGTGTAATTTGACATGGACAAATCACTGAAATTGACTGCAAACTATTTCTAGTTGTTTGGCAGGTAATTTGCATCAATTCATCTCTCTTGAAAATGAAAGAATTTGTTCCTAACTTACAAATCACATGTCAGAAAAAAAATTGGACCCGTAACTTATAGAATTACTCATATACATGTACTTCCCCACAAAGAAACCTTAAGTTTGAAAGCTTTAACACCGGTCTTAATCTTAGATATGATTTATGCATTTTATGTTTTCGCATCATTAAAGTGCCTCAGTAGGCCCTACTGATATTATCTCATTGCCTCATGCTCATCAGTAAGCAATCAAAGGAATCTCGAGGTTTTATCAAGACAACTTTTAACCATTATTTCACTATGGTGATTTCCAACTTGTTTTAAAAAAAGACACTAAGGTAAAGAACCTGTTAATGTCAAGTTTTGGCCGGACCTCTTCCATTTTGACTTGTAATGGAAAGTTGTGCATCGGCGAAACTTTCTGATGCAAATGTTGATACCGTTTTTAACACTTAACAGATGTTACTTGATAACATTATGTCTGTGAAGGGTAAGATGCTATTTTACCATCAATCCATTTTCAACACCGGATCTCTCCAACGAAAAATAAGAAGAATTCTTGAGTCGACTCACCTGTGGAGAGGAACAGTTTGAGAGGATCCATTCCCATACCCACACTTGTCCTGGCCACTATCTCGATGGAGTATTCTGTTTCTGGTTGGAGTGACGTCAAGTTATATGATGTGTCTGTCGTCTCTACTTGCCCATGGGTCTCGTTACTGTAAATGACCTCTCGCCGTTGTCTTGAGCTATCTGCTTTCACGAAGACAGGAAGACAAGGAATCAAAGAGTGTACCGGCAGAGGTAACCAGAATGATTCAATTTGAGACAGTTACTGTAAAGAACTCTTAAGCTCCAAGTAGCACTGGTACCTACCAAAGTATCTCTGAAAATACTCATCTTTTGCATTTTACATTAATTTTAGTATAACCAGTTGACGTTGGATTTTCTTACCCGAAAAAGCAGAAGGGGACAGGTTTTTTTTTTTTACCAGTAAATTCTTCAACCTTGCTATTACACTTCGGTCCAACCGAGCATGAGTGTACACTCATGTACAAGTGAGTGCACACATCCTCCGTGAAGCAAATAAGAAAAATTATGTGTGTTTACATGTCATCCGGCGCCAAGTGGTTGACACTGTACCAAAACAAATCAACATGTGACAGTGAGGGATACAGCCATGCATGGCCCCTCCCTTTAATCTGTCTGGGGCTAAATTGCTTTTCTTGGAATTGTTCCTGCACCTTTGCAACATTTAACGTTTACGTGACTCAATTTTTCAACCACATTTATGGCACCCATTCTGCCGACCTTTTCAAGTTGAAAGGTGACTAACAGAAACCACACAATGACCAGACAGATGAAGTCCGACTGAGAGGAAAAACAGAACGGATCCAAACAGGTGCAACACAACAAGAGCTCCCTGACAAAACTTGTGAGGGCTACCCCAAAAATTGAATTTCCTGGCTGCTCCAGCCGCATCTTCCTCCTTCTTGTGGCTTTCATGTTTGCTCCACGTCCGACTATCTTTCTGCCCCAAATCTGCATGCAGCATGATATGCAACCTTTGGACAAGGGTTACTACAGTGGGTGTGTACACACAAATGGACACTTGGGAGCAGGGCAGCAGAATGCGGTTTTAAATGTCAAAACATGCAGTATCTCTAAAATCAGCATTTCCTTCACAAAGGAATGCTTGCATGCACTACATCACGCCGATAATGTTTACTCTGAAGTTCCTTGGCAGAGTGGGTAATGAAACAAAAGGTTTCAAGTAATATTATGTAAAAAGAAACTAATTATTCTATCACTTCATTCTAATTCTAATTATGTTACTATGGCAACCTCTGCAAATTAAGAAATTGCTTGGGGGGGTTCAGATTTGATTGTCCTGCTTTAGTTTCTTTAATCCACACAAGAATGTAGCATAAAAAAAATAGCAAGGTTTAATACAAGCGCTGCTCAAAGAAAACACTGACAGCCTCCTGCAAACAACCAGCTTCTTTTGGATGACATGACAGAATTCTGAATTTCAGCAGGCTGAATATAAAACTTGGCTGGCCAATAATTGGAACTTATTATAACACAGATGACCAACCATATTCATTTCAAAGGAACTTCAATTTTGAAAGTTCTCGAGGCATGAAGTATAAGTGTGGTGACCTGTCGTACATCTTGATAATCTGGAACTCTTATCTCAGTCCACAAATTTCCTCTAGTGTACGGCTCTTTAATCCCTTTCAAGAGTATGAAAGTTAACATGACTGAAGTAGGCTGCAGTCATGGGATTCATTTTTAACATTTGTGCCACATCATTCTCTGAATGAAGAACTCTACAGTTCCTGATAAAAAAAGCAACTTACACGTAAGGTGTCATTAACTTTAACCACTTTGCCTTGCACAAAATTGTGTTCATAGACATGTACATCAACAACTTTAACCTCCCAAGATCCAATGCTGTTTTCTTGGGGTACTTGGTTTTGCATGTGTGAAATATCATGTCCATGCATCAAACCAGACAAACCTTACCATTTGTTTGTTCTTGTCATTAGGTTAACAACAAACATACGCAGGTCATGGATTGTTGCTATTATGTAATTTGGCGACCCACAGATTTAGAAACCATTACTGGTACCCACTTGATACGGTATTCGTGCATGCATTACATGCTTCTTCACCCAATAGGGTGCTAAGAATTACCATTTGCACGCATGCTACAAGTTAAATCATGCACGAGCACGGTGAAACCGCAATGTTGGTACTTTTGGATGAGTCTCTACTGTATATACAAAGCACTGTACCAGCACATAAAAGCATACATGTATTTAGAGTATGCTGCCTTGGGCAGTGAACTTAAAAGGAGTACACTGCATCTCACATGGGTACATGTACATGCATATGCACCTGACGTGACAGGGTCTCAACCAACAGGAAAGCTTCACCCATTTACATGTAGCTTGTGAATAAGAACATTTGATAGCTTTGCAGTGTTGTAGTGGAGCCTATTACAGACCAATTACGAGGCAATTCACATGTCACAAGTAGCAGGGAAGAAAATGTGACATGTGCCTTTGTCACCTTTTATCTTTCACAAATAGCTTGAGACTTGACGTGATGAGATAAGACTGAAATGTGAAAGGTTTAATAGTGCGAGCGCATCTGATGGACTCTCAACTACACAACAGCCAGCTAGACCTACATGTAACAACCCGGTCCACACCTGGCGTAGCAAGCACACCAAGCTAAGCTTCGTGGCTCATTAATAAGGCATTCTACTATACAGGATGGGTCCTGGTAAATCATAAGCTACTGTGTCTAGCACTCGATTGTTTCATTGCAGTTAAACACAAATATAAACAGGAAATTTGTGTAAACTCATTAACCAGCCTGAAAGCTAACATGCCAAAACCCAGCCAAAGGAATTTAACTGAAGTCCATCCTGTCTTCCTTGACTGAAGACTATCAACAATGCCATCGCGTGCAAAGTCCTCACAGACAGACTTGTCACGGCACAGCCATAAAATTGTTTCCATAATTGATAGGTGTACTAATTGACCATCGCATTTTGTCTCCAGCACATCCTGATCATGACTTGTGTGTCCATTCTACGATGAAAATCCCTGTAATCTCGTTCTGTTTGCTGTTGAGCTGGCACATTTTGCATGCACAAACTGACGTGCTGAAAGAATGTCTTTGGTTCATGATCAGTGAGACAAACTTCTTGGCACACTTTGTTGCACTTCTCCACTACTGCAGATTGTCAAGGTTTAAAGACAGGATACTTCAATAACTTGGGGCCGATTTCAAGAAAAGACATGTCTTAGGAAGGGTAACATGTCTTACCTCACAACTCGTCCTTGGATTGATTTGCAAACTTAACATGCATTCAATATGTCTTTACTTCCTAGCAACTCATTTTAAATTAAGATGGGTCTGAGAGTCCAAACGAAAGATGAACATTGTTTTTTTAACAGTTTCGAGGAAGAAAACAGCCACGGAAAGAGACTTTTAAATTTGTTATACATGTATGTGCATTAATTGTTCGGATAAAAAGAAAGATTGTCAAAATTTAAAGGCATGATGCAAGCACCTACATGTACTTCTCAAAGTAGAATTATGAACATGATTGGAAGCAAATAATGACTCAATAAGCATGCCCAAAAGTTTGTGCTCCATATACATGTATGTGCACGTATATGACCAGAGGACACTGGCTCTCCCTATTCTTTTCAATGACCGTTTCATTTAGCAGTGAAGAGACACGGAAAATAGCCATCAAATTTCTAGTCTCATTACATCTTCTCGGGATGGGTTTGGTGAAATTAATCTCAGAACACGTCTTAGCTCAGATCAATTCTCAGAGTAGGGACTCATCGTAAGTCCTAAGATGAGTTGTAAGATGAGTTTTGTGAAATTGTGAAAATGATGCACCACTATTGTCTAATTGTTCCCTGAAGTCTGTGCTGAGCAGTCCGCTGATCTGCATTAAGCCCAGTGCTCCATACCCAAGTGCTCTGCAACCCTGGTACATTTTGCTTGGTTTGTGTAGGGAAACTACATGTAAATGACTGATTCACAGGATGGCCCAAAGCCAGATGCTGGATAGGTCTACTACAACTGATACATCCCACTTGCTACTCAAAATCCTTGACTGACCAATGAAAAAAACACATACCCTCAAGGCAGCCCACATATTGTACCTCACTCACTGTCTGGTGTGGTCAGCTTGCCTGCCCACTTTCGCCTCAGACAAAAACAAAATGGCCTTCAATTAATGAGGTCTAATTGATATAGTCAAGCTGGTGTGCATGTCAGCATTTTGTCATCCTGAGAATAAATTACGTCTCTTGACATCTTGGAGAATAATCAGGTGACCTTTGCTGGAGTAGCCATTTACAGTGATGAAAGTTGAAATTAAACGGGATCAACAGATCTTGGTTTTCAGGTGTTTTGTCACAACACATCTCACACAAATATCATGAAACTGTCAAATGGCAAGCATTACATCTGCACTGAATGTTCTTTGACGACAAAGAAGGACTGACTTAGAAATGTTAACAATTTACATTTTTCATTCAGTTACATGTAAGTGCCCTACATTATGTTCTGACTAAAAGTTACACATACATGTATTTCCTTTGCCAAAAACTAAGCACACTTCGATAAGCTGCACAAGTGCATCAATGAATTAAATTGATTACCAGCCACGTACAAACAATTTTTGTATACAAACTGAAAATGAAGTGTAGGGTTTGGCCATTTTTTTCTCCAAGAGAACTGACCAAAATGAGCTGAAATAAAATAAAGTCATGTTGAAGGTCTTACTAGACATCTAGTGTCACAAACTGTTGCTCATGACATTGGAATACTTCAACTCCATTCTCAATTTAAAGCAACAACTGTACATTGTGCGTATTGTTGACAAGTTTGAGACAACTTTCAAATGAGTGATGTCCAGATCCCAAGGACTAAGCCAGTCCCTTGACAAAAGCAAATTAACCACTTCCAACTAAGTTTACCAAGTGGTATGCCGCCTCGACTGACAGAAAGCTTCCAGCTTTCCGCGGTAAAATGTCCCTTCGTCAAGCCTCAAAAAACTCTGCTGACCGAGAAAAGGTAACCTGTGCTTCTGAACCGTGCTATGTGTTATTGTACATACAACAACTGTGTAAACTTATCTATCCTGTCCAGAAAAGCTCACAGTGAAATCTATTTACAGCATGCTTTAGGAAAATGACTGTTAGCACTGATGC